GAATGTGCTATTCTCATCTGATTTTGGAGGAAGAAAGATAACTTTTCCCTATACAGCACATTATTGGCCAATAATGGAAGAGAAGCAAAAGTAAAAAATGACTCTGGAGGAAACTGAGGCGTTGGGAAAGACGGTAGAGGACCCCAATCAGACTAGAGTGTCTCTGTGGAGACTAAAGTGTCCTAAAGACCTTTAATGGGCTAGACACACGGGAGGCGACATCGCATCGCCTCCATTCATTTCAATGGGACGTGCGCGACATAGCGTCAATCGCTAGCGAGCCTCCTGCTCAGCGACGGGCGAAAAACGTGCGTGTGAAATCCTCCTGCTCGTGCATGTATCGTGCACGCGCAGGTCAGCGACGCGATCCCAGAAAGTTGAAATCGGCTCAACTTTTCGACGCTGTCGTCAAGCCGCATCGCGCCCCGTCTGTCATGTTATCTGAGCGACAGCGTTGAGTTTCGCTGATCGCTCTCATTTGTCGCCTCCCGTGTGTCGAGCCCTTAAAGGTGATTATGAGAATAATCACTTTTGAGAATATAATTTTCTCCTTTCATCTTTCTGTCAAGTGACCGTTTTTGACAAAAGTCGAACATAGAAAAATCTTCTGCTTGTGTTGTCATCAAATGTAACAACAAATTGAGCACAAAAAGCATAATCTGGCAGTTTAAAAATTAAAGCTGATGCCTACAAAGCCCTTCTATAGCTTCTATGGTAATTCTCCATAGCTGAGCGGACTTGCCTTTCCACAGATCTGACCTGTGTCCATGCTGCTTGGTGTTCTCAGAGACACATTATGTCAGTTCATGCAGGTCTAAGTCTAAAGTCCTTGTGTGTATGGGAAGAATTGCAATGAAAAGCTGTCCTATATAGTAGAGCTCCTAAAGCAGCTGTGCTGATGTGGCAGCACTGATCATGTCAGAGGCTTCCTGGGATTCACACAGACTTCTGTTTGTCTGCTCTGAGAAAGCATCAGTGCATTTGTAATAGTGTAAGTAGGACACTAACTGTAATATGTTAGTTGACTAGTTCCTCGCTCTAAAAAGTGTTTAGTTCTGTGGTTTTACATGCATGTACTTCTGACATCTGATACAATATCTACGGCACTTATAAAATAGTGATGTCACCATACGTGTTAATCTCACATGAGTGAGCATGTTCACAATTGAGTAAAAGTGCGTTATTTACCACAGGCCATGACCGTCTCATCTCAGCAACACCGATCTCAAAATGATCTCCCAGTTCTCCAATAGAAAACACGTTTTTACCATAATCACTAGGGCTGGGCGGTATAAACGGTATAAGCGGTAGACGGTATACATTTGGCCCACGGTAGAGATTTTTGTTATACCGGCATATTGCGATACGTCATTATGTCATTAAATTGCGCAGGCTCTGACGCCAGCAGAAAGGACCAAAACAAACCGGCATTCAGCAGCATTAGCCTAGCACTATTAGCCTAGCATTAGCCTAGCACTATTGGACACCACTGGAAACAACGAACAACAGCACGGCATTAACACAGTGTTTCTGTCTATGTATTGTTGTCACAGCGGCCCCAGCAGAGGTAAATACACACACAGTAATCACAGTTTAAGAGTCTACCTTTTGGCCAATCAGTGTCAAAGGGGCGTAGGCTCGAAGCGCCAGCGTGAGCCAAGATCCATGCGTGAGCCGTGTCCGCAGCATCATCACAGCAGAAGTTTTGGAAAGTTAGCGTCAGATTCGGACCTCCGCGGTCAATATCTCACGAAAGCTACTTTGTTAAACAAAATTAATTGTGCCAAAATGATCATTTACATCAATTGTTCAAATCCAATGCCCTGTTTAATGAACATAAAATCCATTGAATCATCCAGCGCAGAGAAAAGCGCTTAGGGAGCGTCAACAAATGGCAAGACCAGCTTTGTAAACAAACAGCTTTTACTGAAGTCATGCACCTGCACAAAACTCTCAGACACTATAAATCAGGGATCTCCAACCTGTGGCTCGGGCGCTACCAGTAGCTCGCCAGCCCCTTTCAGGTAGCTCGCCAAAGGATTTAGAATTTAACAAATGATATTGAATTAATATTTTTTGAGCCATTACATATTTACTAGTATAGGATTATACAGTATTTATGTTTAGTAGTAATCATGAGATAGATTTTTATTACGACTGCAAAAAGGAGTAGCTCTCGGCCTCTTCGTTTGTATAAAAGTAGCTCTTCGATTGAAAAAGGTTGGAGACCCCTGCTATAAATAATGACCATGTCTAACTCCTACAGACTTTGTTTTCATCATTTGTGAGTTTTTTATATTTTAAATGAATGCATATGTTTTTCTTTTTAAAAATTGCTTTTACAGTGAATGGTATTTACTGTAACATACATAAATAATGTATGTTATTTGTCTCTTTATTCGATATATAAAAATAAAAAATAAAAAAAATATATATATATTAGATTTTAATATATAAATAATTAACAATCTTGACTATTTTATGCAAGAACCTGCTAGACCTATATTGAAATTCACACACCAAATTATACCGCGATATATACCGTCTACCGTCTATGACCCAAATTATACCGCGATATGAATTTTAGGCCATATCGCCCACCCCTAATAATCACCGTGAACGCTCACTCAAAGATGCTATTCTATTGAACCAAAAATTATACAAAGAGGTTCATTGATTTCCTGTTTTAAAAGTGCAGAATTGATAAGCCCCGCCTTCCTCAGTGTTCTTGAGTGAGAAATATGTAAGATTTTTATGTCCAGTCATCCTTAAATAGTAAAGCTATTGTTCAATTATAGTAAGTAAGCTTTATTTATATACCGCCTTTCACAGACAGAGTCACAAAGCGGTTTACAATTGTTATTTTTGGGCATTAATCTCTCACTCCACACAGAGATGGGAGGGGGGTCGCCGAACAGGAGGCGCATGTCATACCTATTGTACATATTTTTAGTTGTAGGGGAAACCGGAGTACCCGGAGGAAACCTACGCAGACACGGGGAGAACATGCAAACTCCACTCAGAAAGGCCCTGGTCCGGCCGGGATTCGAACCCAGGACCTTCTTGCTGAGAGGCGAGAGTGCTATCCACTCAACCACCGTGCCGCCTCCAAAATGATTTTATCTTCCCCACTGCGGGACAGAAAAGGATCTCTTTATCTTAATCTAAAATTTAAAAAGGCTTTGTCAAACAGCCCCTAAATCTTGTTATTGTTTTCATTCCAATGTCCCGCCCTCCACCGTTTTACCAATCAAAAATTCCGTAATCCGGGTTGCCAAAACTCCCGCTTTCGAGCTGAGCTCACTGGATAAGTAAAAAAGGTCTTGTTAAGATTCTCAAATCATTAACGACAAAACAAAGAATAAAACCAGGATTTCTATCTTTGTGAAAAAGGTGTTGGTTATAGATTTGTTGTTGACAAAACTCTTGTCTATTCAGCTGTTATGGTCCCAGCTGGATTCGTCTGCATATCTGGCAACCTGAGTCAGGGAGAGTGGGAGAGGACTACAGAATATTGGCCGTGATTGCAGTACCACTTTTGGCCAGATTTTACATATTTCTCCTTTAACTCATCCTACCTGGACAACTATCCAGTAACTTATTTGTGGAAGTTTAGTCGATAGCTCATCTTTTGAATTATTACCTCTACAGGTTTGGGTATTCTGGTTTGGTATGTTTTAAAACATTTGTTCAGTTATGTTTGGATTGAAACAGAACTGGACCAAAGTACAGATTTTATTGTGTCTGTTTACATGTTTAAAAAATCCCCCATACCCAATATTACACTTGTACCTCCTGAGGTCAGCGACATGTTGACTTGTCCTTGTTGCCCAATAGCACTTTGAGAAGGATTCCTCTGATCCCAGGTGCTCACTGATAGTTGGAAAAAGCGGCGGGAAATCCCATATTTGCCAGGTTGCAGTGCAGCATGTGGTTCTCCCCTTCTTCTGCCCCACGGGGGGCCATCGGGGGCCACACAGAGCCACAGTCGACGCTCTGTTCCTGTCACAAACCCATATTGTGAGGCCCCTAAGCTGCATGTGCATATTTGAGCGTGCAGCGGAGGGCGAGCACAAGTTTGCTCTGTCAACTGGGAAAGTATAGAGCCAAAAACTGCACAAGCCATTTAACTCATGTGTGTTTATGGCACATAGTGCAAAGTACTTTTAATTTTTAAACAAATCTGCTCTTGGTGATCAGATTCAGATTCAGATTAATTTATTTGCTATTTGCAGTAAAACCACATTGGAAAAACTGTGCAAGACTACCCCGGTGTGCACCAGACAGAGAAGATGACACACGCCAGAGCTCTTGCCACGGCGCCATCTTTACGGCGCCATGCGACATAATGTTGGAAAGTCTTGCTGTATCTGCTTTTCACCATAGGGAAGACAGGAACGTGTCAGAATAAAAAATCAAAACAAACTTCTGACTTCCAGTAGAAGTCCTCTAAAGTCATTGCGCAGCCACTATTGGACTAAAGCGAGTTTATCCTCCACATGGAGCATTATAAACATTTTCAAAAATATTTTTTACAAGGGCAACTTTAGAAGTGCATGCAAAAGCCCAAACTTTTAGACTAAGAGATTCTTGCTTGTTACACGGCCCTGGATTTTTTTGCAGATAATCTGTTTTTATTTATCCCTGTGCACCTTTACGTTTACCTTTTTTCTGTGGGAATGAGTTATTTTTCCATGCAACCAATTTATTTTCATCCGTATAGCAGGCCTTTTTCCAATAATAGTAGGTCAGATTTGCTGAAATTCAGGCCAGCTTTCTATAGAGACATGTTGTATTTGCCCTTCTAGCTCAAGGGGGGAAAAAAACTACAATGGATTCAAGTGTTGTCACTTGGGTTGTATGTTCAGTTCCAGCAGAATAGAAAGGTCTGTATTAGAAAATATGAATCAAGAGGAAACAAAATATGGCATGTGGTTATATGTGGGCCGTCTGACAGTATATGCTTGGTCCTGTGTCTATGCAGCAGTCTGGTTTGCTCGATGTGCTCTGCAGACAGAGTGGAGAGTGTTGGATCAGGTCTGCTGCTGGTTGTGCCCTTTACTTCCCCTTCCTCTGTACACTCAGGACCCCTCTTGAACTTTGTGTTGGCGCAGCAGTGAGCAGGCCCAGTATCAGGAGTGAGCAGCTCTTCCTCCACACTCACAATGGGCAGGAAGCCCCTCTAATAGCTCCAGCACTACTACGTCTGCTACTACGGCCAGCGAGGTGCGGAAAGCTCCCGCGGCGTCACGAGGAGAGGAGCGCCGCCAGCCCGTTCATCATGTGTCTGCAGAGGTCAGCAGAGCCATCCATCTCCACTTCAGCAGCTAGGACACATCCAACAAGTGTGTGTGGCGGCACCAGACTCACATGGTCCAAGGACAGAGCTCTAAAGGCTGCTTCCAAATGTCCTGCTCTGTAACAGAGACAACTCACTCCTGGATCTATGACTAGTTCACATGATTGGATGAGCTTTTTCAATCAAAAAGAGAGGACCACCCTCACTCAGCCAATCAGCTCTCAGTATGTTATAGATAGTGTTTTTGAAAAAGATAATGGCAGCGTGTTTCCTAAACAAGACACTTTGTGTTGAGACAAAAAAGGTTACATCCTCCAGCTTAAAATGCAACTCTTGCAGTCAAAGTAACATTTTATAAAGTAAAGAAAAAAAAAAAAAAAAAAAAAAGTTTAATTTACCTTTTTTTAACCAGAAAGTACCACAGAGATTTTTATTTTCTTTATTTGTGAACAAATCAGAACACAGTATGTTGTCTTCATCTTATTAGCATGATCTCTTGCATACTGAGAGCTGATTGGCTGAGGAATGGTACACTTTTTTTTTCACTGAAAAACTGTTCAAAAGATGAGGCCAAAAATACAAAAAAACAAACAAACTGCAGCTTCAATAAAGTTGATGGGGGTGAAGTTGGTGAACTTAGTTTCTTTTTCTTTACAATGCACGATTCATAAAGAACTGTTCACAACTGTGGAAACCATATCAAGATTATTTAACAGATAACAGGCCTTTTGTTGTCATTCTCGTTGGTTTGAGAAAACCTTTGAAGAAAGGCAACAATCCTGAATTGTCTTGACAATGCTTCTTATGACAGCTCCTCAGTGGCTGCCTGACCATGCCCAACTTTCCAGGTTCTACATTTTATCATTTTCCTTGTGACTTCTCTTCGTAAGCCCAGTCAGGGACAATAAGCATGTGGATATTTTTTCTTTCTCTCTCTTGGAAAGTCATCGGGTGGTACTTTGGCTCACAGCAACTGAGTGAATTGAGTTAGCAGCACAGTGGCCGCTCTGTGCGACCTGCCCTCGCCCATCTCCTCGCTTCAAATCCACTTAAAGCTGAGGGCTGACGTCAGCGCAGTCAAGGCCTCTTTCTCCTGCTGCAAGTCCAACCATCAGCTGTGGTCACCAATTTCAGCGCAAAGTGCCATGGGTTGAGTCGCCTATAGACAAAAACTTTATTGAATTAACATAATACCGAAACGATTGGTGCCATACTGTGCACAGACTTTTTGTGTGAACGCGGCATCAAGTGTGATTTTTCCACCCTGAAATGTCTTGTCTCAGGGCTGTGTTGAAAATGTCCCTTTTACTGATGTTCCAATGAAAAGTATAGACTGGGATAACACAATTTGTTTCTAAGAGCCTAGAGAAAAGATGCAGCTATTCACTTCCAAACCATCTGTTTTTACCACTACTACTGTAAATCCCAGTTTTACCCACACTTCTAAATTCAGAAATGGCTTGAAAACATGTTCTTTTTTTACCCTGGCTAACAGTGACCCATTGATGCACTCTGGGTCGCCCACAGCTAAAACCATGGAGTGTTTTGTGGCTGCTACGCAACATTAATGACAACAATCTTGGGTTTTTTTCCAGTGCAAATAATCCTGTCGATAGTGCCTGGTCTGCTGCTGATGTTCATTGACAATGCACGTTGACTTTTTCCAAATAGGTCAGCGATCACCGTTTGAGCGAGGTCGAAGAGCAAATATGATGTCACAAGCCTACATGCTAAATGGCACATGGTGAGCAAATAATAATTATATATAATTTATTTTTATTTTGTTTCAACCACCGGAACGGTCTCGATGGTAAAGTCCCAGAAGTAAGAAAGAGTGCTTTTTGAGTCCATTGGTTCCAGTCTTTTTCGTTCCACATTCTTTCAATGCAATATTAACTTTTGAAATACATGGTCCTGATGTTCTTATTTAGAGTAGAATAGAATAATTTTCTTGTCCATGTTATCTCTCTATAGGGAATGTTCCAGAATATTGTTTCAACCTTGTATTATAGAATGAGGGAGAGGTGCAGGGCCATGTGTGTGTATGTGTGTTTTATGAAACTAATATATGACCGTTTAATGTTGATAATTGGCTCACAGCGTCTCAGAAAATTAGAATATTTTGAATATGGACTTTAAGCCATTATCATCAATAAGAAGGCAAGGCAAGTTTATTTGTATAGCACAATTCATACAAGGCAACTCAAAGTGCTGAACAAAACAAGAAAGCATTAAAATCATAAATAATCACAGTACATTAAAAAGAAAGATAAAAATATAAAATCCCTCAGTTGTATGCACAGCTAAACAGAACTGTCTTTAACCTGGTTTTAAACATTGTCAGAGAGGAGGCCTGTCTCACATCTTCAGGTGAGACAGAGGTTTTGCCTGTAGTTTCATAAATTCATTCATTTACAACACAAAAGTAGTGACATGCTGTAAGTTTTTTACTGTAAGACCGTAAACTAATGTTATTTTTATGCTTGGATTGTGCCTCTGGGATCTAGGCAACACACAAATAACCTTCAATTTGCTCATTGGAATCACAGGACATGCTTGAGAGCTGCATAACGTGGGGATTATTATGTCCTCTGCGACATATGGCCCTGACCGTTGGAGGAGGAGAGTCCCAACTGTTGGACCGTCCCTTTGAACCACAGCGCTGAGTCATGATGAGGGTTACACAATCATTATGTCATTATTGCAGCTCGTTAATTCCCATGCAGCAACAGTCTTTGAACGCAATCAGCAAAGGACACACCACGCTTATCGAAACCAATTTGGGGCATAACTGTCCATCTTTATAGCTTTTATTAATACACATATATTCAAACGTGGTGATGAGAGTAAGAAGTGGTGGTTGGAGAGGTCCTTAATCTAGTGGAGGAGTATAAGTACCTTAAAGTTAGTTTAGTTTAGCAAATCTGCAGTGGCCGGTCTTGTTCACGAGTAAGGGAAGGATGGTGCTTGAGATTGACAGAAGGATCAGTGCAGCCTGTGCAGTGATGTGGTCGCTCTTGTGGACTGTTGCGGTGAAGAGGGAGCAGCGTCTGCAGTCAGAGCTGTATGGGACTGTTGCGGTGAAGAGGGAGCAGCGTCTGCAGTCAGAGCTGTATGGGACTGTTGCGGTGAAGAGGGAGCAGCGTCTGCAGTCAGAGCTGTATGGGACTGTTGCGGTGAAGAGGGAGCAGCGTCTGCAGTCAGAGCTGTATGGGACTGTTGCGGTGAAGAGGGAGCAGCGTCTGCAGTCAGAGCTGTATGGGACTGTTGCGGTGAAGAGGGAGCAGCGTCTGCAGTCAGAGCTGTATGGGACTGTTGCGGTGAAGAGGGAGCAGCGTCTGCAGTCAGAGCTGTATGAGACTGTTGCGGTGAAGAGGGAGCAGCGTCTGCAGTCAGAGCTGTATGGGACTGTTGCGGTGAAGAGGGAGCAGCGTCTGCAGTGAGAGCTGTATGGGACTGTTGCGGTGAAGAGGGAGCAGCGTCTGCAGTCAGAGCTGTATGGGACTGTTGCGGTGAAGAGGGAGCAGCGTCTGCAGTCAGAGCTGTATGGGACTGTTGCGGTGAAGAGGGAGCAGCGTCTGCAGTCAGAGCTGTATGGGACTGTTGCGGTGAAGAGGGAGCAGCGTCTGCAGTCAGAGCTGTATGAGACTGTTGCGGTGAAGAGGGAGCAGCGTCTGCAGTCAGAGCTGTATGGGACTGTTGCGGTGAAGAGGGAGCAGCGTCTGCAGTGAGAGCTGTATGGGACTGTTGCGGTGAAGAGGGAGCAGCGTCTGCAGTCAGAGCTGTATGGGACTGTTGCGGTGAAGAGGGAGCAGCGTCTGCAGTCAGAGCTGTATGGGACTGTTGCGGTGAAGAGGGAGCAGCGTCTGCAGTCAGAGCTGTATGGGACTGTTGCGGTGAAGAGGGAGCAGCGTCTGCAGTCAGAGCTGTATGGGACTGTTGCGGTGAAGAGGGAGCAGCGTCTGCAGTCAGAGCTGTATGGGACTGTTGCGGTGAAGAGGGAGCAGCGTCTGCAGTCAGAGCTGTATGGGACTGTTGCGGTGAAGAGGGAGCAGCGTCTGCAGTCAGAGCTGTATGGGACTGTTGTGGTGAAGAGGGAGCAGCGTCTGCAGTCAGAGCTGTATGAGACTGTTGCGGTGAAGAGGGAGCAGCGTCTGCAGTCAGAGCTGTATGAGACTGTTGCGGTGAAGAGGGAGCAGCGTCTGCAGTCAGAGCTGTATGAGACTGTTAATAATAATAATAATGCATCGGTTTTATATAGCGCTTTTCTGGACACTCAAAGACGCTTCACATGTGTCATTATTCATTCACTCCATACATGGAGGTGATAAACTACTACTGTAGCCACAGCTGCCCTGGGGCACACTGACAGAAGCGAGGCAACCAGTATGCGCCATCGGCCCCTCCGACCACCACCAACCATTCACACACACCAGACTCATTCTAGGCAATGGTGGTGAAGTGTCTTGCCTAAGGACACAACGGCAGTTTGGCACTTTACAGCCGCAGCCGCCCCACTGTGGCTGGTGTTCCCAGAGGTTAAGTGTCTTGCCAAGGACACAACGACAGTAGTCAGTGGGAGTCGATGGTGAAAGTCTTGAGCGGGTCTTGAACCCATGACCTTCTGGCTCAAAGGCCAAGACTCTACCAACTGAGCTACTGCCGCCCTAAGATGTTGCGGTGAAGAGGGAGCTGAGTCGAAAGGCAATGCTTTTTGATTTACAGGTAAATCTACGTCTCCTCCCTCATCTACGGTGATGAGTTTTGGGTAATGACAGAGTATCTGGGCGCAAGTTTTTTTTTCAAATATAGCACAGTTCATAAACAAGGCTTGGAGTAGAGCCGCTGCTTCTCCCTGTCAAGAGGAGTCATTTGAGGAGGCTCAGGCATCTGTTTGGGATGCCTCCTGGACGCCTTCTTGGGAAGGTGTTCCTGGCCTAATGACACCTCAATATTCCCCCAGATGACCTGGAAGAAGTGTGTGCTGTGTGTGGGAAGGGCGCTTCTGTTTTGACTGCTGACCTTGCGACCCGCAATAGATAACAGATAAAGCGGGAGAAAAAAGGAGTAATAGAAAAATGACCAAAAGTGACTAATAAACTAAACGGTGCTCCAAAGGCTCGGTGGATTACAATGGAGCCGCTTTGTGCTGATGAGTCTCTTAGTCATTGCAAAATTGTGCCTTTCTAATCGTGCAACTGGGCAGAAACAACAAAGGCACAGATTTAGTACAGTGGACGCCTCTGACTAATGAGTCTGTTAAACTAGACGTCACTTGACTACCATTTTCTTGTGTCAGAAGTTAAGGATAGAATCTTAAAAGGCTGTCAAGGAAATATGTAGAACTCAATTTTTCTTGTTCACTATCGGTATAGGCCTGAAGGTTGTGGGTTCAATTCCCACTTTGACACCTTCTCCCCCCACTCCCACTGATGTCTACTGTTGTTGTGTCCTTGGGCAAGACACCTAACCCCACTTTGCCTGAAGCCCCCGCTGAAAGAGCAAGGCTATTCCCCCCCAACCCAGAAATGGATTAAGGGGTAGAAAATGGCTGGATGGATTGATCCTAACTGCAAGTACTGATAGGACGAAGATAATTTATGCCTTTTCAATTGACAACTTTCTAACTCATTGTTTTTAATAATGTTTATTTGAAACTTTATTTTGGTCAACTGTTAATCCTGGCCGTAAAGTACAGTTGAATTAAAACAAATCTCAAATAAAGATAACGGCTACCCCAGATGTCAAAGGAAAAACCATGCTCTAAAACCTGTATTTCTGTTTCTTGCTAGCTAGCTTACCTGCGCCAGCTGTAGCACGCAGACTGCTGAGCTATAGTAGGAAACTAATAGCATGCTGCGGCGCTAACCACAGCTCCAAACTCGGCTCCAAACTCAGCACAAAGCAATCCCTCTGCAGACATGAGCTCGCCCCAGCTTTAGACCCGGCGGTACTTCAGCTAATCGCACAGCCTGCCATCACGTCTATATGGCAGACGTTACGCATGAAATGGAAAACGTTTAAAAGTGATTACGATTTATGCTAGTGCTGACAATATGCATTCTTTTTTTGCAATCCATATCACAGTACATGTACAGAACATTTTCAGTGAAGTATATACACAAACGCACGCATACAAACACATATATAGCAT